CACACACACACACACACACACACACACACACACACACACACACACACACACACACACACACAGACACACACACGCACAGACACACACACGCACAGACACACGGCTGACAGAGCCCTTTTTTAAACGCACTATACTTTTGGCTCCCCCTCGATCATGCTTGAAAATCAGGCTGTTAGTCTCGGTCCATAACAAATGCTTCACCCCAGTCAGACTGTCAGCGGAAGTATTCTACACATTGGAAAAAAATCCACAAACTGGGAATATTCCAGGCATATTAAAAAACACAGTCAATGGAAATGTACCACATGCAAATCGGGAACAGGAACCAAAGTCCTCGGGCCGTAACTGAAAATATTCTTCCACGATGCAACAGGTTATGAAAATATTTGCCTAACCCAACAGACTACAGGTCCTGGGGGAATTATTACCAAGATGCCTGACTAAGAGAAGTAGATGAATACATTAATGTAGTATCAACACCCCAAGCCATGCAAGACATTGTCTTCTCAAAGTTTCTGGGTGGCAGCAGCACCTTCGTGTGATGCTGCAGCGAGGGAAGGCTTCCCCAGCCGCCCATGTCTCTCTCGCTAATGGAAGCCACATGAAACGGCGGAGCTTCCACCTCAACCGCTGCAGCCGCTCACTGGCCCGCGTTGAGGCTTGGCTGGCTCCCACACGTCCATGGAACCACCAAAGTTCTGCACTCCTGACAGTTTAACACCGGTAATAAATCCCTTCCTACAGAGATTGATGCAGCGAGGTCTCAAGGACAAGACAGGCGTAAATCTAAAGCCTACAGGCTGAAGAGTATTTCTAACAGCAATGATGCAAAGTGACTGAATTCTCGCTGCTCAAAAACATTCACTAATGAGCTGCTGTATCCTGGATCATGTCACATCACAAGATATATTCTGCTCCTCTCCTTATTCTGCCTCTATATACCGCTATATAGCCCAGTAAAAGCTGTAAAAATTCAATAAGACACCCCCACCTTAAATGAAGTTAAAAGGTCCCGTTGGTTAACAAGGCGACCAGTACAGGCATAATGGAATCTGAACAGGCCAAGTTCTTCCCACCATTTGTATTCTGTTACCATGGTTAGATGGATAATTCCACCGCGCAAACTCTATCCTCAAGCAACAAGGGGGGGGGGGGGAGGTTGCTAGGCATGAACTTGATTCCTGCCCACATACAGTCAGACTAAGCTTGAGGACAGTCTGTGCACCCAATCACGAGCGCACAAGCCTGGGGTGAGAATACCAGGCACAGATGTGGCACTTCTAAGCCCCCCCCCCTTCCTTTTGTACACTGGAGTCTTGGCTGGGGAGGGGAGGGGGGGGGCAGCCTGAATAGCAAAAAGCAGCAGTGGGCCAATCCGGTTACACAACGGGCATCTGTCAGACGCCCAGCCTTCCTGAGTGGGCAGCAGATGAGAAGCCCATTATGGGGGGGGGGGAGAGAGAGAGAACAGAAATCCAGGATTCATACTGCACAGGCTGATGCAGATACAAAAAGCCCCAAGATAAAATACATAAATTCATATATAAAGCCCAGTTGTCGGGACACAGGAACCACTTTTCTGAGCTATATTTTGGGCTAATTAAAACGCTCAGCTCTAGCTAAACGGACATCGACATAAATCCTTCCTACTTCTTCATAAAAGCATTTCTCACAAAAAGCACTTTAAAGGGCACTGATGTAACGCTTACTGCACGCTACTCTGAGCACCGATATCAGGTGACGGATTTTATTTTTAGACCAGGGTAATTGGGCAGAACATAGTATTCAAGCCATTTTTTGTTTTAATAGCACCCTTTCCACCTGTGATCGAGCATCTCTCTCTCGCTACCCACCGCTACGGACTCTGCACGTTGCACGTGTTCCTTACGGCAAACGACGCTGGGTAGCTGGTTCCTGCGAACCGCTCAGCCCTGCGACAGTCAGGTCAAACCGCACAGCAGGAAGAAACACCCTCCTTTCGCAAGCCTATTCATCCAGCATCCACCCAGCCGCGCGGGGTGAGATTATGAGCCGTTTCCCGTCGTCCTCACTGCCGCCGAATGGCCTGCCAGGAAACACGTTTGGTTGGTCTGTTTTTAAGGGCAGACCTAATTTAAGAGACATCATAGGGGCACCCAACCACGTGCGATACAGAACTGCTCCCTTCCTCCAATAGAAATTTTCGCATCCCGCGGTGGAAACACCCCCCGCCCAAACACAAGTGGCTGGATTCTCATGGTGCCAAATGTGGCAACGGAGCAACTTCACTGTGAGCTTCCCACGGTCCCGGTCCCAGCAGGAGAGCGAGACCCACCTGGTCTGGAAGGGGCATCCCACGCTCATCTCTCGCCGACCTGATCCTTCCCCGCTGGTCTGATCCCTGAACTCCATCCAGAAATTCCACGGGCTGCTTATTTGCATCACCACAGGGTTTTGTAAAAAAAACCGGGACCGTGCCCCACGCTCTGCCCTTTCGCACGACTGCACGTTGACCAAAGTCAGACCGAGCACCCTCTAAGCTACGTCACCTGGGCCGGGTTTAGAACTCACAGCATTCGGACCTGGTTCACGGCTACAGGCTCCGCCCAAGCAATCCGAGGCCCAGTATAGTGCTGGATACTGAAAGAGATATAAGTTTCCATGGATAAGGCGAATCCATGTGGTCAGAGTCCAAGTCAGGATTCATTACACTGTCAGCAAGTCAAAAGGTATAAACACATCACACCCAATCGCTTTGTGCCAATACTCTGAAACAGCCACAGCTAAACTGGGGGACACTCGTCTTCGGACTCCAACGGTTGCTACAATAACTAGCTTGAGCCGATCACTGTAATCTTATCTCTGGGAAGTCGGCATTTCACAGAACACATTTTCCGCTAAAAGATTTTCCACTGGGCACCACGAAGCCACAGCTATCAAGATGGCAGAAAAAGAAAACAGAGTTTAAAAAAAAAATACAAAGCAAAATCGAGGCAAAAAAAAAAAAATCTGCGTTTCCTCAAAAGCATGATAAAGTTCCTCTGTCGTCAGCTCCGGGTAGCTTAAGGCGGCCTGCAAAATACGATAAGGCACATATGGGCGGGGGGGGGGGGGGGGGGAATCAGAAGATCCGGGAGACGTGCCAAGAGCAAGATGGCAAACGGCACCACGTGACGACAGTCAGAAACAGCCAAGTCCCAGGAATAAGGTAACATTCAAACAGAGGCCTGTCGGGCATTAAAGCTTCCTTAAGTAAAAGACTCATCTCATCTGGGGAATAGCTTCCGAGAAACCGGGGTGAAAAGGTCAGGGAGTAACACATGAGAATACCATCCATTAAAAACTCAGGAGCAAAGCAGGAATGCATCTAGAAGGTTCTGCCATTTGTTTCCTCGCCCTAAAGTTCATTTCAAGCTGAAATGCAGTAAAAGCGCATACTTTAATAATAACTGAATTCGGGTTATAGGAAATACACACCTTACCCAGACAATTAAACATGCAGTTAAAATTCTGATCCATTCTTTTTTAACTATGATAATTTATAAAGAAGATAAAGGATCTTTTATAAAGGCACACAGTGAATAAGGTCCATTTATAAACTCCGGCATATAAGTTTGAAATTAAATACCCACTGATATGGTAATTAAATACATACTGACAACAGAGCCCCTTTCATGGGGTGAAGGTACCCCCCCGTGTCAGCTTCACTTTCCGACTGTTCCTTCCTCCTGGGCCAATATCCAGCATAGCCACTTGTTACAATTACCATGGTAAATACAGAAACACACCAGTGCCATCAGACAGACACGGTCCCCAAAATTCTGATACGCTCCCCTTAAACTGACACTCTCTGCCATTGCATTTCTCATTTCTCAGGATGACACTTCAACCGATCCATGCATTTCCTGCACCGGCTATCCAACCGGGGGGGGGATGTAGCACTTAGTCTAAACATAAGAAAACCACAGGTCACCTTCAATATATATGAGCGATCTAGCTAACCCTAGGCAGTTGTCCAGAACTTTCGCAATTGCCTAATTAGAGATGCATATTAGATATTTTCAACTTATTGGTGTTAGCAGGATTAAACTTTAAGTCCATGAAAAAAACCTTAAAAGGCTGACAATGACCAAACCTGCAACATGAATTCAATCCCACATATGAAACACGTCAGGTGTGCAGTTATTACACGTCACTGCAGATACAGGGGCAGTGTTGCCCACAGGTACCTTTTGGGCGGAGGTAAAGTACAGTAAATCACACCATCACTGGATGAGTGTGGGTGCAGCCACATAATTCCACAATAGCTTTAGGGTAGATGAAATAAAAGCCTTCAAACCCTTTTTCATACTAATATTTATGATGTCTGAACAAAGGGACCTGTTAATGAAGTGATCCTGATGTTCCATAAAACACTTTTCTATTGGGCTTCTGTCCTCCTCAAGCAATTATTACAGATATTGTGTTACATCAGCATTTTGCACCAGTCCATACAAACACCCAATTACTGGCCTGTAACTGCCTACACAAAGTATATCCTTTTGACTTAACAGGAGACGTTCTGACTTTCTTTGAGCTATGTCTCTTGCCTTTGAGATTATGTTTCTTAATTAACAGGTTTCATTTTTCACATACTGTGACTATATAGGTTATAGGACACAAGCTGACAGAAGCCTGTTCATAAATATCCCTATAATATTTAGTTATTAGGCCTAAATCCGGAAACGTCATGTTGCTCTTTAATAAGTTTTACCAAGTTTGAGGACTGGATGTGATTTTGGTTGGTCAACAGCAATGACAGTCAGAAGAATATGTTGTTCACTGAAAATCACTCAGCTCCCCTTTGCCGGCAACGTGGAAAAGTAATTATTTTTTTAAGTTTTGATAAAATAAAATAGTGAAACGTGGACAAATAAACACATTAACAAACGCTTCTGTCAAATTTGGTTAATGAAAGCACTGCACATAGAGTATTGCGTTTAACTGGTGCTTAACTACGCGCCGGGAGCCGTCGCAGCTGGATGGGCAGCGTGAGAACAGCGTGTTCCGGGGAGCCGGTCGGCGAATGGGACAAGCAGGGCGTACTGCCCCCAATGCTACCGCTTAGCTTCCCCAAAGGAAAAGAACAAAAATACACCGCGATCGCCATCACATCGGATACCTGTGAGGTATCCATCTCCAACTTCAAAAACCTAAAAAAATAGTAAAAAGTAAAAAAAAAAAAAACAGACACACTCCTGTCACGTGAGAAGTAACACAGTGATGGGTGCGATCAGGCAATCATCCCTTCACGTTTTAATTTCAAAATAAACATCTCGACCCCCCGATGCAGAATTACTGCCGGGGGGGAGCTAACAGAATCAATGACTGCACGCTAGCTAGTTAGCGAGCCGGTCAGCCGCGTGTATCACGTATCACTGACCGAGCGCCCTCACCTTTTTCATCCTCGGAGCCTCGGCTACTGTGCCATCCTGGTTTATGAACGCTTCCCCGCCGTTCTGCTGGGGATCAGTCCGCTTCATCGCGGATGCCTGCGGTACCTTCATTGGGTTCGGGCTGGGGGTTGGAGAAAGGCTCGGGTCCCCTCTCTGGACCGTCTCCGTAGCTATAGCCGCTGGCGAGGTGGCAGCTGCGGAGGTGGCATTAGGCTCGTTTTTCACTAACGCTTTTTCCTCTCCTTTAGGCGTCACCGGCGACACGGGTGCCAGCTCTTTGCTGGGAATGTCTTTGAGTTCGACCTCGGCCATTTTCGCTGCCACAACCTGCACTGACATCGTTGCGATTTCACGAAGTCCTTTTCCCGAGCTCGGATATACAAACGGATACGAGCCTTTGGAGGACGATGATGAAGCAAAGGATGATGGTCGATGTAGTTTTTATGTAGCAGATACCAAAAAATCTTAAAGCAGATTGTTAGTTTTATTAGTGCAAATGAAATGCAGTAATTTATTCATTTTGACAACATACATTAGATTTTAAGGAATACTAGTCGTTGTAAAAAATACAAAAATGACAGGCCAGGTGATATTTAAAAAAAACTACATCGACCAACATCATTGTTTAAACTCCATAACAAAATGCATTCTGGTAAATGAAGTTCCTTTTTATTATACTGTGCCGCGTCCATCCATCTTCCAACCACTTGTCCTATACAGGGTCGCAGGGAGACTGCAGCACTCAGGACGGGTTGCCTGTCGTTTGAATCATGGACTTACCAACAAAATATCAATTGAGTGTTCCTTAGATTTGTGTTCCTAAGTTTTGAAAGATGTTCCTTAAAACGTTCTCATGTGTTTTGTTGAAACAACACAAGTGATTTATTTACTAAATTAGTTACCAAATTATTTCACACCATTAGTGATTAAGCGTTAATGTTATATTTTATCAGAGAGGTGAGACAGTGGTTAGCATAGAGATTTACAGCTCTAGCTGTTTCAGCAGAGCCACCAACATTCTCAGAGACTCATCTCACCCTGGACATCACCTGTTTCAACTCTTGCCCTCTGGTGGGCGCTACAGGGCAATCAAATCAAGAACAGACACAAAAACAGTTTTTATCCTAGAGCCATTATCTTATTCAACTCGGCCCTACCTTGAACACTCTGTCCGTCATGTTGACATGCTTATGACCTCACCTACTAGCATGTGCAATATTTTCTTAATTACACTGATGAAATCAGCAATATTTGAATATTTATTGTGAAACTGAATCACAAGGAGAAGAATTATGCATAACATAACACTTCATACTTTTTGGCATTTTTTTCCTATGCATTGTTACATTGTTTGCATTTTTATTATTTGCATTCTTTTTATGGTAAAAGACATTTGCCAAAAGACTCTGACTGATCTTAGACTGGGCTACTTGGATCTGTATCTTGTACATTTTCCCATGTGTGCTTTAAGGTAGCGTCCTGAGAACATTGTAGTGGTGGATATGTACTATAACTGCTCCCACCTACAGATGTGTGAAGGTTTCCTCACATTTACATCTCCAGTGTGGTGCTTAATATTCTTTCATCTTTCAATGTAGAGTTTGAGGTGTTGCAGAAATAAATTTGCCAATTGTGGAACATTCAGGTTCAGTAACTCTGGCCATACATTCTTATACACCTTTATTTCACTTAAACCACAAGCACAATTTACAAAACAGTTGATGGTTTATATTAGTTTCCTATTTTCGTATTACATGTTTATCACTCAGCTTACATTTTATGTAGAATGTCTAAGAGTTACTTCAACATTTCATCTTGAGTACCTTGCTCCATGCTACTACATCACTGCCTCTCTTTGTACTTAAACTAGTACCTTACCAGCTGCCCTTTGCATCTGCAAACCTTCACGTTCTTGGAATTTTACAGGATAAGCTTGGATAGGTCCCATTGGGATAACTAAACAATACATATCACAACGGCGTGACAGAGCAACTAGATGGTAGTCAGTAATCTATTGGAACATAATATGTGGTGTAAGATCATTCCAGACCACTGATACTGTCCAATATGCTAGTATATATATATATATATATATATATATATATATATATATATATATATATATATATATATATATTGTTTTGGTAGCAATTTGTGTCACTTGGAGTTCATAGGTGTAATTCATTCATGAAATAAACAGTTGTCTTAATGCTGTATGATCCTTCTCTTAAACTGCAGAACACAGAATACATACAATGTATAGCTGATAAACATAATTAGTAGGCCCTCTGCCATTATTCAGGAATTTAAGTTTTTTTTAGATTTTGCAGCCTGGAGGAGGGATCCTGGGGAATTTTTGCAGGTTGTGGGGGTAGAAACAAGTTTGGGTTGGGTTCAAATCCATTATTTCACAACATGGGTATGTACCTGGACAGTGAAGTAACAGGTACATGATAGTGGTTCTTTGTGACCCGTGCTGAATGTCCCAGAATGAAACAGAATGCTATGATTAGATTACCATTCATTGACTCAATACAATAATAAGTTTCTCACAATATAATAAGCAAATTAAACAACAGCTATTGGTCCAGTAGGTACTCATGATATATCTATCAGTTCTGCTTACAGCAGCTTTAGGAGAAGTTTCTCACAGTCAGGCAGACAATTTTAAACCTGACACTTGACATTTACTGTTATATAGCGTATAAAAGCTGGGTGGTATGGGTGCCTCAGTGGGAAACACTTTTGTCTCCGACCTTGAAGTTTGGGGAGCCTCGCCACTACTCTGTATGAATAGTTTGCATCCTTCTACAATCCAAAGTCAAGCAATTACCCCATTTGGGGTCTGCAAATTGCCCAAAAGGAGTGTGTATGTGGACTAGCTTCCCACCCTGGGTGTAACTCTGCCTTGTACCCTCTGCTGCCCTCAATAGTTCTTAGCTATCTTAGCATAACTGGTTAGAAGAAGGACCTATATAAAAGCTTTGATTTTGGACAAGGTTCTTAAAAACTACAGATGTGCAACTGTTTCAGAATACGTCTTGATTTGATTATTTGTATTGCTGTCTATGTGTCTTTCATGTCACTAAAGATTTGTACACAAGTAAATAAATGTTACTTAAAATAATCTCAATGACTTGCTCAATGGAGACGCAGATAAAATACTTAAAAGCATGCCTATGTACTGCCACCCCGTGGACATTCTTACTAAAGGTTGAATTGTATGTGATCTGTACCTATAACAACAAAACAAAAGCCTGTCCTGAAGAATAGAAAAATCAAATGAAAACATACAGTATACAGTTTTTAAATATGGGCTTTTATTTTGAAAAGCTAATACCGGAAACTCGCAATGGTTGCCGGCAGCAGTTGTTGAAGTTTGGTATCGGTTCATGCGATATCGTCAGCTTTGGTTATGTAACAGTTTCGGAACCGATATTATACATTTATTATATTAACTTTGATTATGGCAGCTTTTGTTAAGTTGAACACAGGAGCAATAATGCCTATTGTCGGTCTTGGGACGTGGAAGGTTTGTTTTTTTACACCTTAAAAAGCATGAATGTATATTTATGTATTCACTAAACGTTCTATAGTATTATAAATATGCCTTTTTAATTTTGATAATTGCTGCAGCATTGGTATTCTTTTAGACTTCTTTTCCGCCTGTCAGTCTCCCCCGGGTAAGGTAGCCGAAGCAGTGAAAGCTGCCATCACTGCAGGGTACCGGCACATTGACGGCGCCTTCATCTACCAGAATGAGAAGGAGGTGGGAGAGGGAATTCATGCCATGGTCAAAGAAAGTGTGCTGAAGCGGGAGGACCTCTTCGTGGTCAGCAAGGTGTCCATACGCTGCTTTCCCTCGTTCCCCTGCTCCTTTAAATAACTCTGACTGAGTAACCTATCTGTGTCATTTGTTTCGCAAGGAAAACGTGCGCATACCATGTGTTGATGTAGCAAAGAATCCATGCATGGCCCGTAGTCACTGATTTTAACACGCATCACTGTAAATTCCCGTAAAGGAATTTAACTATCTGAAAGCAGTTGTTAATTGTTTCTCTTCCATAGTTGTGGTGCACCTTCCATGAAAAATCTTTGGTGAAACCAGCTTGTCAGAAGACTCTGAATGACTTGAATCTGGATTACTTGGATTTGTACTTGATCCATGCACCGTTTGGTTTCAAGGTGAGGCAAATGCTTCAAAATTATCCTGAAATGGCCGTAAAATTACACGTCAAGAAGAAGTCAAGATCGCAGGATTTAATGTGTTGGTGAGATGGTGTTGGTCAAAAAAAGCTTTAACGTTTTCTTTGTTAAAGCAATTTTATATGTCACTGGAAGTAACATACTTAAAAAGGGTTTATTATTATTATTATTATTATTATTATTATTATTATTATTATTATTAGTTTGTATATGATTGTGTTGTTGATTCAGGCTGGAGAGGAGCTGTTCCCAAAGGACTCTGAGGGGTTTGTGATTCCTAGTGATACCTGCTTCCTGGACACCTGGGAGGTGAGACCCTGCAAATTATTCAAGAGAAGGTGGAGTATAATAGTATAGCATAGTATTGTATAATACATAATATAGTATAATAACAGTACGGAGTATAATAATTACTGGGATGCTTTCATTTAAAGTATTTGGTAGCTGATGATGGTAGTTGTTCTTTTCAGGCCATGGAGGAGCTGGTCATTCCTAAACTTATCTTTCATTCATGGGCAGTGGTGGCCTAATGGTTAGGGAAGTGCACTTGTAACTGAAAGATTGCTGGTTCAAATTCCTGACCAGCAACATAACTTGAGCAAGGTACCGCCCCCAAGCACTGCTCCCCAGGCGCTGAATTAGCTGCCCTCTGCTATGTCATGATGTTGCATATTGGTTAAATGCAGAGGACATATTTCATTGTTGTACACTGTGTGATGTGGTGTGTCAACAATGATCACCAAATTCATGATTAATCAAGTGCAACCTTGAAATAATATTTTAAAATGCGGACATTGACATTGTAATTACACAGGCCATGGAGGAACTGGTGGATGCAGGGATGGTCAAGGCTATCGGGATCTCCAACTTCAACCGAGAGCAGATCGAGGCCATACTGAATAAGCCAGGCCTTAAGTACAGGCCTGCCACCAATCAGGTATACTGCTGTAAAGACTGCTGCCCCCAGGAAAAAGGATACAGTGTTACAAAGTGAGGCCTGCCTCCATAAGCAGCTGAACCATGTAGCTGTGTGTTACATCTTTGATTGAAGATCTCACTGTATTGCTGTGTCTTCGGTGTTACGGTTATGTAGAACCAGATGTGGTGTCAGATGCAAAAGAAACATTGGATTTTGCTGTATGCTCCTTTCACATCTCTCAGAGAGGATTACATCAAAGAGACTGTCTGCTCATTTTTAGGTGGTTGTGTGTGTATTTGCTGGGTCTTGTAGAGGAGGAATGATTTGACCTCACAGTGTGTTCTGACTCCAGATTGAGTGCCACCCCTACCTGACCCAGGAGAAGCTGATCAGCTACTGTCACTCCAAGGGCATCTCTGTGACGGCCTACAGCCCGCTGGGATCCCCCGACAGACCGTGGTGAGGACGGAGACTCTCATGGTGCATGGAGGGAAATGGGGAGAGATCTTTCCCTGCATGCTCTTTATGTTTTAGGGCCAAAGCAGAGGACCCCTCTCTGCTGGATGACTCCAGCATAAAGGCCATAGCTGAGAAGCACAAGAAGACTGCAGCACAGGTCAGGGGATCAAGCTGTCAATGCGAGAGATGTTCATATGACTTTGGGTGTCATGTGACTGTCCCCACTGGCTGTCCCATTAGGTCCTGATCCGCTTCCAGATCCAGAGAAACCTGATTGTCATTCCCAAGTCCATCACGCCTCAGCGCATCCAGGAAAACATCCAGGTAAACTCAGCTGAGAGATTGTGGAGAGAAAGGCACACATTGTTCGCAACTCCAGAAGAGAGGTAAAAACAATCACATAAAATAAACAGTGGATATGAGTCAAAATTTATAGAACAGATTTTTTTACCCTGTTGACTAATATCTTAAATAACATCGAAGAAATTTGCATCTTTGATGAAAAATGTCTTGTTGCACAGAAAGTCTTTTGTTGTCTATGACCATTTCCTGTTTCCCTGGGGAACATTTATCACGTCACACACATGCAAAATCCCTGGCTGTGTCCGAATTCAGGGGCTGCATGCTTCGAAGGACACAGTCTGTGAAGGTAGCCTTTGTAGGCTGTGTTCTTTGAAGGTTGAACAGAAAGCGTTGCCAAATGGGACGGTCTGGCCTATGGATGATTTCCTATTTGCATCACCAGCTGTTCCCACACTTACTCTTGAGTCACAAAATACCGTTTCCATCACCTAAGTGGGACACACCGACTTTACCCCTGCGCAAAGAATCTTTGGCTGCGAAGGATCCATCAGGTGCATCCTTTGCACCTCGGCAAAAGAAGGATGCATTTTTCGATCGCATTTGAAGGAGCCTTCGAAATGGAATAGCGGTGTCGCACTGCTGTGACGCATCTGATCTTCAAATGCAGCCTTTGAAGGATGCAGCCACTAAAATCGGACACAGCACATTTGGCATTCTTTGGATCTACATAGGCAGATCCAAAGAGCATTAATCTCAAATGAGATTAAAGATTGCTAACCTGTACGAGTTAGATATAAAGAGCTAAAAAGTACAATTGAGCGCAGTCAGTGAAATTATTAAAAAAATTTAATAAGCATGGAACAGTTGAAAATTTTCCAGAAAGAGGACATATCACATACTGCCCCACTGTTATCCTTTCCAGGAGAGTCTTCACTAAATATTAAGCATGAGGCTGCCAATACTGTCCAAAACCCATTTCATGGTATTTGTAATTCATCTTATAATTAATGTTTAACTCATCTTCACGGGGGTTGCCAATAATTTTAGAGTTGACTATATCATTGTTATAAGATTTCCCATCAGATCGCGTTAACACACTATTGAAGATACAATGCAGACATGACAGGTGATCTTTTATTTAGGACCAAAGGTTAATATGTGTTGCATGAAGAGTGGTTTTTGCCTCTCATGAGCAGAGATGGTGGAGTTACAGGAGTTCGTCATGCTGAAACTGTAAACCTGCACTGTCTCTGCTCAGGTTTTTGACTTTGAGCTCACTGAGGAAGAGATGAAGACCATTATGGGGTTCAACAGGAACTGGAGAGCCTGTCAGATGCTCTGGTGAGCCTTGATATGTACGCCGGTTAGGTTTCTGCGCACATCATTTTCTGCTACCCTAAACATTGCTTTCCCCGGTCTTCTTTTCATTTTCAGGGGGTCGAAACACAAGGACTTTCCTTTCCACAGTGAATTCTAACGGGGACATGCATAAAGAAATTACTAAGTATTTCGTCTCCGCAGTACTCAGCATCTGTGCTCCTGAGACTGAGTCACCCAATATGACAAGGGTGTGAGAGGAACCGATGATGTTCTGCAAGCGGGAAGAAGAAAAATGATTTACTCGTTATTATTAACTCGTATTAATAATGTAAACTTAGTTGCATAATATAACACTGAACAAGGTAACAGAGTAACATCATAAACTATAGACAGAGATTCTGGGATTAACATACTAACATGTTGTCAGTGATTAATACCACATGGTAACACTTCTGGAAAAAATCTTTATATCGTTCCTAGTCAGCACTTTTCTGAGTTAATTACTTTTGTCTTGCTGAGATACAGAGGGAGCCGTATCTGTCCAGAGAAATTTTGTAAAGTCAGATCACAGTGATTCAGCATTATTCGTGAACTAGTGGCCTCGAACTAGCGGCCTGAAGTGCGTTAAATAAAATCTTTAATAGTTACCATACAGGAATCTGATCCTTCTTTTTAATGGTAATGTACTGTTTTAAAAAAGAGTAAAAGCACCCAGTTTTTACAGAAATAGAAGGTGTAGTTTGGTGACACATTACATAGCAGGTTGATGGCAGAAAATATCAGCAAACTATTAAAATTTATTTTGAAATGGTTTTCAGCATCTAATCACACAATACGGTAATCAGTAAAAATGCCTACAGACCTAAAATAGGATATTATTCGGCAAAATTAACTCATCTTAAATCCTCCTGTTACTACTATTGAGTTACCTTTGCTTCTATTATGGAAACCTATGAGAAGTTTTTTAATTTTTCATTTAGCGACATAAGATGTAACATTTCACCCCCAGACACGTATCTCTCATCGTCCAATCAGCTACCTCCAGCAATTTCAGCCAGTGTCGCCTGCCCAGCTCAATGAGGTGGTCTCACAAATGAATGTCACTTACTGTCCCTTACACATTATACCATCATGTCTTTTTAAGGATATTTTGGATAATTAGCTCATTAACTAGTGGAGTTGTCCCTTCCAGCTTTTAAACGTGCATGTAAGCCATTTGTTATAAATGTGAATCATCTTAGAGAAAATATAAGGAAATGATAGGGACAGTTACTGCATCACTACCAAAATAATAGATTTAATTTTTACTGATTTCTGAATTTTTCCAAATCTCATTTGACCTTGAGGATATAGCTGCAGATATGCTGTTTGGCTGTAATATTTTTATATATTGATATCCAGGTAAAGACTTTGTATGGTACCTTAAGGTTACCTGGTGGGTTGCATGTAAATGTTTGTTCTGTGTCTTATTTTTTTGGGCTCCCTGAAATTAGAGATATTGAGATGTATCTTTTATTTAAAGTTAATTAACTGAAATTGATGCCACAGGTAAGATATGAAGTATTTCGGTTTAATAAACAAAATGACAAATAAATGTAATCTAATGTACTGTAAAGTGACACGTATGGTCTGGGAGATGGAGAGATGGGCAGCTTTCCACCAGTAGAGAAAATACATTACAAACAAAATATACAAGAAACAAAAGGCAATGTGGTCAAATTAACATGAAGGAGCATAGACTAATATAACGACAGGGTTAGGTAGGGCAAATAGTAACAAAGGAACATTTATGTGGAAAACAAGTGAACCAGTAGCAGAAACTAAGAGCACTCAGAATGACCAACAGAGAAATAATAATCATCACTTTATTAATGCCCATGGGGAAATTGTCTTTACACCTCCCTCAACTTGTTCTTTGTAGAGTAAGCTGTCTGCAAAGGACAGCCACCCATAGCAGCACCCAGGGAGTTGGGGGCTAAGGGCCTTGCTCATGGACCCACAGACATGCTGAAGCTGGGTTTGAACCACTGAGCCACACACTGCCCACCAGAAATGTCAGAAGTGGGATTCAAACCCACACCTCCAGAAGAGACTGTGACCTGAACACAGCACCTTAGACCGCTCAGCCATCCCAACTGCAAGCAAGGTCCTTATATACACAGATAATGTGGTTGGAACAGGGACAAACAGTGAGTCAATTAATTACTACATCATGACAAGGAATTGGGAAGAAAACGAGATGGCCAGCGACATCTGCTGGCCATATACAGACATAATGGAGACAACTGGGAGAGGTCCTGTTGTAAAAAATCTCTTGGCCTGTAAATGAAAAACAGGAAAGTGCATTCCCCCTACTTGGCTTGTTGTGTATGGAGGACCACCGGTGTCACGGAAATAGTAACACAGCATTTCAATAATTAATAACTAATTGTGCAATTAAAAGAGCAATCATACAAATAATGTATATATGAAATATTAATCCATCAATAAATGGTTCAAATTAAAAAGGGATTTACAAAAAACAACATATCTCTGAATTGCCCATATCGCGTGCCGCCCCATCAAGGCAGCACCCCTGCCCGGCGCTATAAGCTTCGTAGGCTAAACTCCTGCCTTCCCTTTGTAATTTTGACCCGGATATGAAATTAAGGGATGAATTTGAAGATCCGCATGGACAGAATGAGAGGTTACGGTCCATTATCATTATTTAATGAAATTATTTCTAGAGACCAGGTCTACCACCCTTGACTGAAAGATGATTATGCAGTTTATTTATAACATATGCACACACACCTCTTGTGGCTTACAGTTTACTGGCTATGGGTATTGTCATATTGTGTAACAGGTTTGGTGTTTTGGGATGTGACCTTTATGGGGAGAACGACGTAGTTTAATTATACTCACCATATTATTTTGTCTTTTTTTTCCCAAGTGTTTTTCTGCCAGGCCAAAAGAGATATTGAAGGCTGCTACGTATTAGCCGAAGTTAATTCTGCTTCTTATAAATGTACCTACCAGAGGAAACTAGCCTGCAAGCCACATGTTGCTGAAATACTCGCTTTACTGTCCAGGTCAGGTTCAATGATAAAAAAGGAATCACACCAAAAGATGTTGCTTTTGTCCACTTTTATTATGAAGTCACCAGTATCACCAGTGTCTCCTGTGCATATTTATATGTGTGTAGCATCATGGTTTTTTAGGAGTAATTTGAAGTGAAAAAACTCTATTTCAGTAAACAGTTTTATGTATTTACATAGATGTGTCTGACTCCCAAAGCATTGTACATGTTCTATGCAGGGCAAGGATCTGTGCCCATTTAATAAATTACGATGTATTGTATTCATTTCCAGTTGTTTTTGCTATATACATTTTGTAATACTGCCAAAAAGTACAAAAGATAATTCATATTTTTTAGTTAAATTCTTAAAATCTTAATATGTATGTACATGCAATAACAGTGGAAAATTCTAGATGTTAAGTTTGTAAGTGTTTAGTAACCATTACTTTTTGTTATATGTCTAGCTCAAGAGGTTCAATGGGTTATTTTAAATAATTAATGATTGTTTGCTTATAACTGCACCATGTGGCTTATTTTTGGTTGAGTCTGAAACTGATCTCTGCCTAATCCTGTTTCAACACAACAAATCTTTGATGTTTATTTGCTTGGATAAAAAAAAAAGAAACACAAATGGATGTTTATCTATTACTTGACACAACAAGCCAGGAATATTACAGATGTTATGTAACTACGTACAAACGTATGGTGTATGATTAAAAATGTGAACAATACTAAAATAAGACATTTCTGACAAGTACATTAAGAGGTAAAATAATGTATTGCGTAACTTTCCAGAGCACTCAGTCCTCTCTGTGACTTTCATATAATTATAAAAGCTGGTCTCTTCTGATTACAACTTTGAACACTGCGTGTTTTCATTGCCTATGATTCTATATTCCCACCCTGTCACTCCATATGGAAAAAGGCATACAATTTTTGTCAGGTTATGAGCTTTTGCAGTCCTGTTCATTACAGGGTCATCTTTCAGAGGCCGCGTTATGAATTCCAGCAGACCGTTTTCCTCTTTGACTTCTTGCGCCCCCTTGTGGCTATAAACTCCTAGTGATATTTCTCATGATCACCCAGTCTGGAAACTCCGTTAGCTGGAAAAGGGGGCCTCCCCAGGTCATGATGGCCAGCATCACAACCATCACCCCGATCAGGTTAACCCCGAAGCCAGCCTTCACCTGTAAGAGAGAGGGACTCAATAAGAAATTTTGACTGAAGCACCGCTTCGTCATTTCACTGTGTTTTTATGATTTAGATGCATATGTAGCTGCATATGTAGCTATCACTCACCATATCGCTAATCTGCACGTGTCCGTAACTGAAGACAATGGCGTTGGGGGGGTTTCCCACTGGCAGCATGACCCCGAACGACACACACATGGTGCAGGGAATTAGTGTGTGGAGCGGGTTTATGTGCAGGGTTTCCGACTGGCACACAGATGACAAGGGTTAGATTACAGGGCATACAGAGAGTCATCTCATGCTGCTGGTGCTTCCTGAACGAGGAAATGAGGCTTTAAGACCTGTAGTACCTGGGAATTCCTCCACTGTTGGTCAATCTTAAGGTTTTACACTTTGACTGGGTTCAGTGAGACAGTAATTGACGAGCACAGGTCAATCCCACCCATAAATAATGTCAACGGGCATGTGGTTGTAGGTAGGAGATGGCTTCCTACCAGTGTGGAGAGTATGGGCAGGAAGACGGTGAGTGTGGCAGGGTTGCTTGCGAACTCCGTGACACCGGAGACCAGCAGGCACGCCAGGAGGGTCACCGCCCAGGGTGGCAGGCCGCTCATGGGCTCTAGCTGCCGCCCAATCCAGACTGACAGCCCTGATACCTGCGTGGGAGGAGATTATGGCTGGGTACCTATGTGCGGTGCGATGATGTCATAAACGAGCTAGACATTTTACAAGTGAATCACACAATCAGCATTGTTATCCAGAATAATAAAGACGGCTCGCCTTGGAAAGATGTCCTTCACTGCGATATGAACAGAATGCATCAAGGAAACAATAATTAATGGTAGTTACATCATCTACTAGGGGAGTCGATGCGATTCACATCTCGATGCATCGCGAGCAATCTGATACCTTAAAGATACATACGAAGCCATTACTAATGTGACGCGATATGATTCACCCATATAGAGATGTAGTGCAATTCAACATGATTTGAATCAACGCGACGCGATTTAACACGATACGATGCAATGCATCGGCAGACACGCCTTCAGCTCGAGTGACACTCACTGACAACAGTGGAGGACTGGAGATGGGAGAATGTGCTTGAGAAACAGTTTTGAGTGGAGGAGTAAATCTAAATATTAAATTACTGGTCACATTTCTAAATAATAAAGGCATTACTAATAAATTGGATCATACCGAGGCAAAGATGTAATTAAAGATGCATCCTGAGTTCATCCTAAATTGTTTCCAGTGCACGCTTTTTTAATCAGGGCAAACGCACCTTTGTGAACTTTTATGAAGGTGCACCAATGCACATCAGAAAATCTCACCATCCCTATCATCTGCTGAAGACTACTTGGCACTGGATTGCTGTACTTTACCTTGCAGCCGGCTGCTAGGGCATAGCCTCCACCAACGAGGATCACAATCTCCCAGGGCATCAGGCTTTGGAAATCCTTCCATGTGATCATCGGGGCGAGAGGGTCAGGGTTGACCTCCTTCACTGAATTTTTATCTGCATTCATAGAAACCAAGCTTCAGTTGCTGAACAAAACCAACAGTCTAATATTTAGAAAAAAGTCGATGTGGAGAGGTGGACAAGATCGTTGACCTGTTGCCTTGTCTGAGGAGGCTGATGGCCAAGGTTTACGAGCTGGTATGAGGAACAGCAAGAAGCCCAGGAGCACAGAAATAGTGGCATCAGTCCGGTAGCCTTTCCTAGAGGGTACATCACAAATGCCTCTGAGTGGACGATCAGTACTCACTGAAAGAGTGCCTTCTTTCCTCTTCCATTCTGTCTCTGGAACCATCAATGAGAGTGAAACTTACTTCTCGAAGAGCGATGTCCAACCTGGCACAAAGCCCGGCTCCCGGGTGAACCACAGCAGGGTCATAAGGATGAAGAAGATGCCCGTCACCACTTCAGGGTAGCTGCACGAAAGAGGTGGGAAGCCCAGCCTGCAGTCAGCATCTTACGGCCTTAGGTGACCCACATGTCTGGGCCTGCAGTTTCTGGCAAGTTACCTAATGGGTCCCAGCTTGGTGTACTCCTCCTGAATGCGTTTCTCAGACAGCTCCTCCCTCCGCGTCTTCCGCTTCTTGCTGAGGGAGCATGTTTCCTTGAAACTACAAAAGTGGGGACAAAAGAAGTAGCATAGACTGTTGGGTCATGGCAACTGCAGGCAAAACATCTATAAGACATCACATGGTTCTACGTTATACACTTACTTGCAGCCCAAGAACAAGCAGTGAAGCCAAACCCAGGTCAGTATCAGCATGATGATGGAGATCGGCAAGCTGAAGATAAACCAGGTGCCGAAGTTGATGACTTTCGCATCTGGGTAGCGGCTGTGAACACCGAAGAGACAAAGGCACCGAGTCAGTTGTTGGGTCCTTATGCGGCCAGCAGCCAGGCCAAGATTTTCCATGGCACCAGCCTCCTATCTCTCAAAAACATTTGCGCATTGATCCGACAAACTTATCACGGGACACTTTTAGTCTTACCATGACTAGCCCAACATGCAGACAGACAGCAAACTAACAAAAAAGTATGGAAAGCCTGTGAGGAGAAAAAATACAGGACACAGGTCCTGTCTTGAGTCAGCACCAATCACCGCTGAGGCCTGATAACTGTGGAGCAGACGGCAGTAGTAAAAAAAACGCAATTCGAGAGGAATCCATGCTCTTAAGATGACACAGTGGAGGAGACTTCAAAACATGGAATCACCTGCCTTGTGTAAAGCCTTTGTGAAAGACCAAATTTTAAGGAAAATGCCACCTTTTGATACTGCAAAATTGTACTACTAATTGTAATACTGCATTACTGCAAATTGAAGCACCTGTGCTGACTTGGTGAAATGTACCTTCAGTTTGGTCTACAAAGTAGGTCAGATGTCCTGTCAAACCCCTTGCTCACCTCCCTCAACAGCTATGAGTTTCCAGGAAACCTCGGGACTGTGCCCCCCCCCCCCCCATGGATGAAGTTCAGAGAGTTCGCTCCATATGGAGGTGATTTGAGGCAAAGAAAGAAGCCTTTGAGCTACTTATAGCATGCAGCATATTTCTGAACTTTTAGACAGAACCACCAGTTCGACTTATTTATACTCTATCTATTCCTTGTTAAAGAAAAAGAAATTTTTAATTTTGTGGCCAGTATGTAAATGTCGGCCATTCCAAATTCTAACTTTGCAGAAAATCATAGTTTTATTTTGATATACCTGTTTGTCATCACTATTGAAGTACAATAAATGTATTGACAATATGAACGATCCCTCTCCAGAGAATAATGAAGGTACATACATATTAAATGAAGGTACATACTAGGGGTGTGCAAAGCAGCCGGTATTTGTATCTGTATTTGT